TATATATATACATAATCCAGACCTTAAAATGCCCGTGACATCAATTTCTTTTAATAAATGTGAATGTGTTTTTGGAAAGAGGACATTGAAAACATACTGCAAAACAAACTTCACGCCGTTCAGATGAACAGTTGTTGAGATATTTGCATGTGAAGAAACAGGAAGTGATGTCAAAGGAGAATGTCTGCATGTAAACAGAGCATTGCTACAGTAATTAGAGAAGAATCTGATGTTTATTTGAATTATTTAGAGTCACTATCAGAGATGAAGAAGAGTTTAAATAAGATTGTTTCAGTAAACAACGACCAGAGGGTTTCTTTGTTAAAGCGTTCCCCTTTGATGTCACTTCCTGTTTCACCTTGCTGAGCCAAATTCAATATGACAGTTATGAGACAAAATGGATAAAATCATGTGTATTGTGCTAATTTTCTTAAATATAAAAATATTTTCTTTGACTTTTTGTATTTGAAGGATAAGCATGTTACAGGCACTTTAATAAATTGGACCTTTTAGCTTGTTAAATGACTTCATCTAGTATTAAATTATATTTATTAATTCTTACCTGTCATAAACAATAATAAGAAATATTTACCAGTCGACACTCTGAAAATGTTCTCTGGAGACCTGGTGATACTTTAGGATGAAACTTGTCTCTAGTGGTATTGGCTAACTATCTTCCCACCAGGTCAGGTTTGTCTAATGAAAACTAAAAATAGTTAAATATATAATATTATTTTACATTGAAAATATTACATAAATCAGAGGGAAAATCAGCTTGTAATATTTAATAATTTGTGCAAAATTGATAGAATATACTTTATTGTCCCCTGAGGGAAATTTGTCTTGGCCAAAGTGCTATATAGTTGTTTAAAACATTAAAACGAAATGAGGATAAAGCATTGTTAGGGGCTAATGTGTTGTGGAATGAACGCTGTTACTGGAGTTCAACAGTCCGTTGGTCCTGCACTGTGGCACCCTCAGTCTCTGTAGCATCAGCAGTGATACACTCTGTATCAATGTACTGTATGCCACAGAAACTAATATATGCTAACTAATTCAATATTTAACAGTTACATTATTAGATTCAGTTCTGGTTAGATCACATCCACATTGAGGTAAATAAGATAAAATCTGCTGACTTGTGAAACGACACGCTTTCCTGTTTTTCTTCTGTTAGTACGTCCATAACACAGCTTTCTGATCTTTTTATATACATATAGCTTATATACACTCTAAAATATTAATATTTTTATTAATATTATTAATAGTTTTTACAAATTTTACATAATCAACCCGTATTGTTTGCTATTTTGCCAACATGTACAGCCATGTAAAACCAGACTGGTACCCATTCTGTTCTACTGGTAACCCCTTTATATAGTCATTTTGTCACTTCTGAGCATTGTTTTTAAAACATGAGTCGTTATTTGGGGAAATTATTTAAAAAAATTAATTTAGACTAGATTAAAAAATATAAAATGGATTTGTGTCATTCTCAGTTTATCAGACTATCATAAAAAAGTCAGATATTTGTTGTATTTAGGCCAAAAAAAAGAGTTTGGGTCACTTTTATCGAAGCTTAGTGGTGTTCACTTCTATCTGTGCTGTTAAAGAAAATCAGGCCGTGTCGTTTCTCCCGTCTGCAGTTCTGCTTTACGTCAGAAAGGAGACGGACGAGGTGTTCGACGCCTTGATGCTGAAGTCTCCCACGCTCCGAGGGCTGATGGACGCAGTGAGTGAAAATCGAAACATCAGTCAGAACTTGCTTGCCACAAAAAAAAGGAAAAACGCTGACAAACTTTGTGTCGACAGATATCGGAGAAGTACGGCGTGCCCACGGATAGGATAGCCAAAGTCTACAAGAAAAGTAAAAAAGGGTGAGTGAGGAAACCCTTCGGAACATGACGCCTTTTTCTGCCTCCGTAGTAATCCACATTCTGTGACAGAATCCTGGTGAACATGGACGACAACATCGTCGAGCACTACTCCAACGAAGACACCTTCATCCTCGGCATCGAAAGCCACGCGGACGCCTACAAGATAATGCTGACGGAGATYTGACTGTAGATCTGAGAGACTGCGGGAGAAATGAAAGGAGAAGCTGTGACTGCTGATAAGCTGACGTTACCGGAGACGCTCCATGGCTGGAGTGGTGCCGAGAGTTTGATGTCCACACGTCTGATTCCTCTCCAACACTCCCACTGTGAAGCAGCTCCTATTTTCTATGCAGGAGGACGGTGAAATTAACAAAAAGGACTTTATTATGAACTGAGACTAACGTCCTCCACTTTAACGGAATATTTTAATTGTATAAAAGACTTTGTTTTATTCTGTACAGATGTGTTTTTTTTTTGCCAAACAATACATCAGAAGTAGCCACAGTTTGAATTAGTTGGTCCCAAGTAACTTAGATCATTTGTAYGCCAGAATACGTTGTTATTAGATGTGTTATTATTTATTTGTGTGTTGCATTTCATGACCAGCTTATCTAAACATTTCACCAACTTTCTAGCACATTTCAGTGATTACTCACACACTCCGTTTTTTTTAAATGACTTAAATGCCCTTTSTTTTCCTGCAACGTGGTAATATTTATGTGTCCACAGTTAGCCCAAGTGTTATTTAGTAGAGCCTGACATCAGGTAATGATACAGAAATATAATAAACATCTCATGGGGGTGAATAAAACCGAACTGTCATTCATGTGTCGTGATGAAAAACTTAAAACATTAATGAGACATTATCTCATGCACATGACAAATATGTTAAAAAAAATCATTAATTACAAATATGTTAAAATGATGAAATATGAGCATTTTCATCATTAGGATGTAGAAACTGTCACGTGTCAAACTCAAGGCCCACGGGCCAAATCTGGCCCTTGTTAACATTTTATCTGGACCCAAAGGTAATATTTTTTCTCATTTCTTTTCTCGATGGTGGTTGACTTTAGTTCGGCTTTCCCCTTTGTCTTTGATCAAATAATTAAATTCTTAGTGTGTTTTTTTAATAGACGATTTTCTGGATCAGTTACTTATGGGGGCCAAAATTTAAAACTTGGTCTGAACCAAGGGCCAATTTCTATAATTATTGTTTTTTTTAATCTTGGTTTTAAATTTTATACAACAAACGATTCTTGTAAAATACAAATTACCTTTTCCAAATTATATTTTATGTGACTTTAGAACCCACATAACTGAACTAACTAATAAAGACAAAAAATTCATTCAAAAGGACACATCATTAGCATTTAATTATCAGGCCTTTTTAT